TCTTCTGGCACAAACTCCGCTCGCACCTTGTCCTGGATGTTTTTCTCGCGTCTCTCCAGCTCTTTCATGAGCTTCAGGACCAGCTTCGCGGGGTCTCTTTCGCAGATGTGGGTGGGCTCTCTTTCAAGAGTGTCTCCAACGCTCACAGAGATCGGCACGTGCGCGTTTTCTATCGTTAACGCTCCTGTTGACTCTTTCCGATAGTTTTTGACGCCATACGCCTCGAAATCATACAAAATACCGTGTGGGTAAGTTTTCGTTTGCTTCCTCGGGAGTTCCCCCTTAAGATACCCAGCTTCGCAAGACCATACCTCGACAACTTTGTAGCCAAGTTTCCGCAGAAATGCGGTACGGTTCACGGTGGCTTGGTACAGTTGTTCGGCTGTTTTTCCGTTTGTTATAACCTCATGTCGGTGCGGATAACATTTTGGGCATCCGTGGAAGGGGCAGCCGTGGTATTGGAATACCGTCCTCCTTTCGTGGTTGTACCCGTCGACAGGAGAAGACTTCATTTTCCCGCCTTCTCGCGGAAGCCATCTCTCGCCCCCGTGCCCGCTCATCGCGTGTTGGATGTGAATCCCCCGTCGCTTCGCTTCCCGCTCCAGCCACAGAATCGCTTGTTTCGATGCTGAGCCCTTTGGGTACATCACTTTCTCGAAAGCTGTCTGCGGGGCTTCCACTTTTGTCCCCGGGCAAAAGATTACCGTTTTTCCCGCTCTGCAGGTTTGATGGTGCCGCTTGAGACTACAAGCTTGTGTGAATCTCTGCCCGCAATGCGTGCATGCATAGGTTTTCGCCAGCTTTGCGATGTCTTTTATCAAGAAAGCGTGGCCTTCGTACACACCTATCGTCAAAATGTTTTTGAGTTTGGGGTTCGGGTTCACTCTGAGGTGCCAAACCACTTCTCCGTCTTCCAAACGCTCAGGCTCGTAGACGCGGATTCCTACCCAAGATAAGACGGGCGAGCCCTCATTCGGATGGGCTTCCACCTTGTCTAGCTCGTCCAGAGACGTTTTTCCGAAGTTTTCTGGAATGGTATTTAGTTTGTAGAAACTCTGGGCGAGTCTTCGGGCTTCTTTTGTACAACGGTCAGTGCGCGCCCCTAGGTGCACAGCGAGGCAAAAGTTGTCGTTATACGTGTCCAACGCAGCCATCGCCCGACCATGGGTAAGGTTGCGCAGCCAGTCGGGCAAAGGCCCTGTTCCCACCAAAGGTTGCCTGTCAAGCACAACCTTCAGGTCAACGTTGAAAAAGTTTTCAAAAACCCACCTCGTGTTGGGCCTTTCAACTCTTTCAAGGTCGAGACGCAGTTCTTCCTGGCGGCTAAGCCATTCTCCCGCGTCTTCCTGTTTGTTGAACCACTGTGAGCCCTTGGGGTTCGAGTAGTACACGATCACAGTTCCATCCTCAATGTTGCGCAACTGGTATGCGAAAACGTGCCTCAGATAGAACGACGTGCTTACTCTTTCACGAATCCTCGACATAAAGTCTGGTGTTAGATTTCTCCCCAGGCCTTTGATGAAGCGCCATCGAATGAAACGCCGGCCTGTACTCTCTTCCCCTTCTTTTTCTGCGTCATCGANGAATGAAACGCCGGCCTGTACTCTCTTCCCCTTCTTTCTCTGCGTCATCAAACAGATCCAGAATCTCCTTCTGGTAGTCTGTCACTGTTCGAGTTTTCCGCGCAGGGAAGGGGTCGTACTCCCTCAGAAGAGCTTGCGTTTTTCTCGACTTTCTTTGGCGTGGAGGGGGTCTTGGTTGGTAAGGCTTTGGGAGTAAGGGGTTTTTGCAAACTCTTCTGCGTTTCTTGAGAAATTGGTTCATCCAGCACGTTCTGGACAATCTTTCTTACAGCTGGCGCATTTTCTGCAAGAAGTTGGTCCAAATACTGCAACGTTGCTGGATCGATTTTTGCGAGTTCTTCTTCCAGTATTTCTTCGTACCTTTCGTTGTTGGAAGCCATAGTTCCTTGTTATAACGAAAGGTTTTCTTTTTCTAATTGATGTGTTTCTTTCAGCTCGAGCAAAACAATTTCAAAAGTTTCCTTTGCTTTTTTGCGCTTACGGATAAGCCGCTGTTTTAGCGCGTTCCCGCCGCAGGGGCTGCAGATCCGGTAGTCGCACAGAAGGCCGACTCCGCAGCCTCTACACGGCTCTGGAATTTTCATTCCTTTCTTTAGCTGGTAGTTGTGCTGCCCGCAATACACGCCGACACAGCGCTTCCCGCAGCATTCTTTCCGGCCCCGCATCAGCCACGCGCACATGTTTGTTGCTCGAGACATCGCGGCTCGGGAGGTATAACAGCGGGCTCGCTTGTTTCTAATCGGTGGCACTCGCTCCCTCCCTCCCCCTTTGTTGTTAGTAGGTTTGCCTGAGTAGTATAGGGGGTAGTCGACAAATACTGTTTCAAAGAGGAAGCAGTATTTCCCTTTCTTCAGCCTCCCTGGTTTATCAGGCCCGAGCTTGTGAGGGCCTGACTTAAAGCTGGGAGGTGAAAATTGGTGAAATACT